GCTGGCGGCAGCTTGCTCGACCGGGACAGGGGCTGCAACTGCTTGTCTTGTAAGGCCTAACAGGAGAAGACTCCACCCACACACCAGCTCTTGTCTGCAGCAAGCAGTTAGCCTGACTCTCAGGGATTCAGCAAATATCACGGTATATCCTTGCTATTGTAAGCAACAGGACCCTCGCATCAACCTGAAATGCACGCGCTGCTACGAGGAGTGTGGTGGTCTATTCTGGCTTCACTTCTTCCGACAGTCCGAAGATGCTGCAAAAACTCAGCAGCGAACTGAGTACTGTTGACGGCATGCGCAACCCCATTCTCACGTGGGCACGCTGCCGCTGCTCCTATGGCCCACCCGTCTGCAGCCCTCCCAGGCTCAGCCCCTGTGCCCACAGCCCCCACGCAGTGTCCCTCAAGTTCTTATTGAAGGGGTTTGCGGGTGGGGTTCAGCACCATACAAGGTTACGGGTCAAGAGCACTTGCTGGTTGAGGACACTTAAATTCAAGCGTCCCGCTTTTGCATCGTAAGTTGTTGAGTGTGGTAGGGTTGGAGATGAAGAGGTCCTTGTGTACGTGTTTGGGGATTTAGGTGCTCCAGGTCTCCCAGGGTTTCAGAGGGTTCAGGCGCTTTGTGGTTTATGGTGCAAGCTAGATCTAGAGCGATTTTGACTTTTCAGGTGGTGCAAGCTCATGCAGGGTCTGGTGTGTTAGCGTCTCAAGTCCTTCGCGTCCACGGCGAAAGTGAACGACTTAGAAATACTAATGTTAGGTGCGATCAGATCTGATGATGTGCTTGGGCGTGTGTTTTGGGAATATAATGTTCGAGGAGGTTGCGTGGGGACTGCTTGGTGTGCTTTACGGAGCGAAGAGCTCAAGGGCTTTGGGGTGTCGGGTTTAAAGTATAATTCTTCCGGGGTTTTAGTGCTTACTTGTGGTGTAGGGCTGAGGCTTTGCGGTGTTGAAAGCGTTCTCGCGTTCAGAGTTGAGGATGTTGCGTGGTTTAATAATTTTAGGACTTCTTTGGTGGTGGGGGTTCGGGCTGCAGGTCACTGATACGGGCTTCAGATTTTGGGCATCGAGCCCTTAGAGATGAGGGTGTGGTTGCAGGATTCGTGGGCTTGAATGTTTAGGTCCCAGCTACAGTTTACTTGAAAAGCCATCCCCTCTGCTCCGCGCGAAATGCTGCCTGTTATGATCAATGACCATAGTTCTATCACGAGCTGCTGCAGGCTTTCTGTAGCTCGCATCCCTGTCGTTTGGTTTGCTCAGTTCATCAGGTGGCCACACGGACTGCGTCTTCGATGTCGCTTGGGGTGTGGCCCCGAATGGCTCGAGATTGCTTGTCCTGCCCTCAGAGGCCTAGCTGGGTCTAGCTCAGACGGTCTGAGGGCTTGCCTGTTCTGAGCCTCGCTCAGGTCTCAGCCTCGCACGACAAGTCCGTGAGATATTGGAAAGAGGTTTCCTGAGGGGGCCCGGGCGTGCAAATTGTTTCAGCCCAAGCGCTGCCGAGGGACTGGCAGGGCCCACAATGCAGAGAGCTGCTGCAGCAGCCCAGAGTAGTACCAACTTAGGCAGCATAGGATAACATAGGGTTCGGCAGGGCCTAGTTGTGGCTGTATTCGTGCTCCTGATTGCCCATGGCTCTCTGCTCCATGTCGCCAAGGACCTTGAGGTGTGGAAGGAAATCATCTTTATGTTACACACTTAAACCACCTTCCGCTTGGGTTTTGCGTTTCAAGGGCTGTTGGCAGTCTGCTTCAGACTGCCGGGGGACCCCGGTCCTCAGAGAGGAGGGACCACTCAAAAGTTAGCTAATGCCGAGTCAATTCCGGCCAAAAAGCCATCTTGTAATGTAAGGCAGTGATGGTTTAACCGTCCCATTGTAGATCATTGGCCAGCTAGGGAAGTATAGATCATTGGCCAGCTAGGGAAGTAACGACTTCCCTGCAGTTTGCAAGATGTTTGACCTTGAATGTCTCATCTGTGATATTCTGTGCCTCTACATGCCATGCAGGGTGGCCGTATTATGTGAGAAGTCCACCCTCCAAAAGCTCCAATTTGGAGCAGCTCGCTACCAAGCGCTGTAAGCCAGAACAAAAAAGCGCATGCCAGGGCGGAGCTGCTGATTTCCACACATGAGCTATAATGTAAACTCCTTAAATGAGGGCTCTCATAAGGCATTAGATAGGGGAGGATTTATAAAGGGGGATACTAGGAGTTTAGCCAGTGACTGCCATGGTATCGCATAGTAATAGTAATGCACTTCAGTGCGTTTGCGTTGGTGCCTTGCTTGATTTGAACTTGTAGCAATCCATGGCCACGAGCAAAGCCTCTTTTCAACCTGGGCTGGGCGCAGCTAGGTCAGCAGAAAGTTCTGTGTCATCACGAGCTTTACATGCGTTCTTGCTAACATATGCTGCCGTCCTGTTATTGTTTTCGCTGTGCTTGTGAAATTTTCGTGCAACCTGGCCCTTCCCTGTTGCACATCCTTTCCTTGTAGTACAGTTACAGGCTCCGAGCTATTTCTCACTACAAGTCGCGCGAGAAGTTTAGATTGTTAACGATCCCAAGAAGTCATATGCTGGTCAAGCACCGATGTGCTGTCTATGACAGAGTTGTTTAGAACAAACTGAACTCAGCGTGCCGCAAGAAGTAAAGGCGCAATTTGCCAACAAGGCTGTTGCGCCGAATACGGCCAAATCAAAGATTGAGAGCATAGGAAACGGGCTGGCTCGAGTTCCGGGCACCAGAGGAACGTTGCAGATCCGTTGTTCCATTGTTTCGGTGGTGCATTCTGGCACAAAGTGCCCCACAGGCGGTAACATTTGCAGGCAAGCATGCGGTGTCTCTTGATATTTGCGAATGTATGCACCTGTCAATTGCAATGCTAATTTGTTTATTCATTGGTTCGGGGTTGTACGCCGTTCGAGGGTTGGGCGGTTGATGTGCACTACATGGAGCGCACCAGTTGGGCTTTAAATTCGCAAATTGGCGTATGACCGGAAATTCGAGATTTACTTGACTGTTTGCCATTCGTTACTAGTAGCGCATCTTGGCTCTGATCTGACAAAGCTCCACTTGCGTGCATCACTCACGTGGCTGCATCCTTTGAAGCTTTTGGTTTTGCCGATGGCTTGTGTGACGGTTGTATTGTTGTCCTGCGGCAGTCAGAAAGCGCTTGATGTAAATAGTACAGGTTCCAAGGTTTTTTTCCATCAGCTTGTAGCTTGCAATGCCTGTATAAGCACTCAGGCGATCATGTTGGATGTGCTTAACACTGTTCATTGGGGACTTAACATTGTTCATTCTGGACTAGACAATTGACATGCATCACTTCTGTGGTAGAAAGCACTCCCTGATTGTTTCATGAGGTCATGGCACCAGCTGCTTCTCGATGCGATGCGCTTGGTTTTCTGGTGCATGACAGTGTAACAGAAACCTTGAACTGGATTTTGCACTTTCCCATTTGGCGACATCAGTGGTGGTATGTGGTGGTATTTGCCTTGAAGTTTTTGTTTGGTGCCTGGATTAGGCACGTTGCGTGCTGCGGCACTGGCAACTGCGGCTGCTGGACTGTGGCTTGCTCAGGCACTGGACACCTTTTTGCAGTGTTTGTTCCGCAGCCAGCATAACATGCAGGCCTTTGTCGCCGCCCCGGCTCCTCATGCAGCTCCCGCCCTCAGGGCTGCAGGGCTGCAGGGGCCTTGGACGAGAACTTGGACAGCGCCCTTGATATGCTCGTGGTGATCTGCGCTTTATTTCCTTCTTGAGGCAGGCTTCTGGAAGCGCAACTGCCTCAATGGCAGAGCAGCCAGGATCAGGAGCATCTGCACTGGTCCGGGACTTGGCGCCTCAGGTTTAGAACCCTAGACTCGGAAATAGTAGTTTCCATTTAATTTTCCCTTATCCCAATGTAATGCCAAAATACTATGGTAGTTTCCATTTTATTTTCCATTAACCCCAATATCACCCCAATATAACCCTAAACCCTAAACCACTGTTTCCATTTAATTTTCCATTGTCTTTTCCACTTTAGTGGGATAGCATCCCCTAAACATTAAACTCTAAACCCTATATAACCCATTGTAGTAGTTTCTGTATTATTTTCCATTATCCTTGTATATAACCCCAATATATACCCCTGTAAAAACCCTATTATAATAGTTTCCATCTTATTTTCCATTATCCCAATACAACCCCAATATATACCCCTGTATAAATCCTATTATAGTAGTTTCCATTTTATTTTCCATTATCCCAATATACCAAGATGTACCCTACTATTTTGGGGGTATATAAAGATGCTCAGGCTGCTTCCTGCCTCCTGGCTGGTATCTCTGCTTCCTTGGCGCGCAGAGCATCCAGAGCCACTTCTTGCCGTGCAGCGGGGCGCCTGGCTGCCCTAGCTCCTTTGCACGACTGGAGAGTCTGGTGACCATCTGCAGGATGTTTGCAACATAGGATTTCATGTAGAAGTATGCTTCTGTGGACCTGAATCGCCTGGACTGAGGAGCAGAAAGAGTCGGAAGAGCAGAAGAAGCCTTTCAATGTCTGGGACAGTTGGCTGCAAGACCTGTTCCGGTTGTGGGTCGAGACAATTCAATTTGCTTCTCATGCCTTGGTAACACAGCATACACCTTGACTTTCGTATGTGCGCGCATGCCATGTTCCTTGACATTTTGGTGGTCAGAATGGAATAGAGAAATGCATCCTTATGGTAGGCTTGTATACTCGCTATTCATATGACACTTTCGATTTTCTATTCCGTTCGTCAATTCCTTCGCCAACAACAGTAAGCTTACATTCAAAAGGGCTCAGGAAGGGATGCCTGGACAAGTCTCTGAAATTGACCGGAACGTCTGGAACCCTCGGAATCCCCGAGGTAAAGCAGGGAGCTCAAGCCTGCGGAATACCCTCAACCCAAACCCTAAACCCTAAACCCTAAACCATTACCCTCCCTCTAGGGGGAGTGCAGCCAAGGAGCCAGACACGTACGGTAACATCTCCATGGATGATGTGAAGAAGTATGGCACGGCCAGGACCTCAACTTACTGCTTCTTAGTAGGGAATAGGGGATATCATAGGGGCATAATATAAGGATCATATACCCATATAGGCCAATATTCCCTACTAAGAGCCAGTAAGTCAAAAACAAAGAACAGCACCCGACAGTCTCTGTCTACATGATTGTGCGCGCATGCCCTGGAAGGCCGGCACTTTGTCATACGTGATCACTGAACTCATCTTCTGGGCCGTGGCCTTCCCCACCGAGCTTGCATCTCAGATGTGGAGCGATGTCCCCTGCCCTTGATCGAGTTAAAGGAGCGCTTGGGTTCAACGTGTTCAGAGGTGCATTGTCTACTTGAACACTGCTGGACACTGGCCAGACTTCAGCAAGCCCGAGGCCACAATGCCTGCTTCCATCAAAAAAGCTGGAATTTTGTTGGGGCACGAATGGAGCGGAGGAGAGCGCTGCAGTCTTTGGCCTGGTCTTTGCTGCTTCCAACATTGTCTCAGCCTCATGCAAATTCAGGAAGAGGCAGGATGTGCACATTTGCAAAACGGATTGCACAAGAATCCTGTTTCCACAAGACCTTACAAGATTTGTTGTAGCTACAGTGCTAGTGCTAGTCAAACACAACATTTTTTCTGAGGCCCGGCTGTTGTTGCCAATCCGCTTCGGAGCCGCATTGGCCATGGCGCCCTGGGTTCGGCACCCAGTGGTTGCAAGATGTCATTTTTGACACATCTCCTGCCCGTCTCGGTCTTTCAAGTGCTGATTCCCAAGTCAGCTCCGAATTTCCAAGAGCAGGTAAGCCCTTTCGGGAGATGTTGACTCACTTGCGTCTGCGATATTCTTCTAATTTGAAGAGTCTCAGGTCGACGAGAACATCATGCAGAAATTCTTCAAGCAGGAGGAGGCAGCGCTAAGTGTCTGAAATGGTTTCCAGTCATTCTCACCTTCAGCGGCCAGGGCCGCCAGGGCCAGGTCTTAGAGCAGTGTAACGTACCCCGACCCCCCGTGTGCCTGGATGTGCTGAACTTGCCCTGATGTGTTCGCTTCGCCACAAAGCAAGGGTTTGGCACACTGAGGCCAAGGAAGGTGCGTGAACAGGGAAAGGCCTTTCAGGCCTGGGTGACATTGATATCAATTCAAGCATGTTTTGAGGAGATTGTTTCCTCTGTTGGCATGACTTTGGCCCGTCTGCCCTGCACAGTGTCAGATAAATCCAAGCTTTTGCAAGCTCCCGTTCCGGACAATGCTGCCAGCTTGATGCGCTTGAGCCTGAATGCAAAACGTTCACTGGATGACCTGCTCAGAAGCAGTTTTCAAGGTTTTTTTTGATTTTCGACCCGGCTCAACAGATCTGGTAAGTGGTCGAATCCCCAAGAAGCTGTCTTTCACCTAGCTGCCAGGCCGGCTGTGGCAAGGTCCGCAGGTCCGCTGACTAGAGAAAGCTTTCAGTGGATTTTGTAGGATTCCCGTCGCTGCATGTTGGAAGTCTTGACATAATTGCTGGCGTATGTCCATGTGCAATTGTGGAGGAGAAGGTCGCGGGATAGAGATTTGATTCCCCACACAGGTTGGATCATTTTCCGTGGTGGTGCAGCTGGGCAGAGTGAGGATCTTGGATGAAGGGAACCCCGGTGTCTGAGACCGATATGTTCCCCAACAGCCAACCCTTTTTGTTGATGTGCCCTTCATCTGAAGGTCTTTTGATTTTCGCCACTAGCGCCGCACGTCTTTGCGGACCAGCTCTTGGAGATGTGTGCGGCTGCACAGATCGTCCTTTGTTGGTCCAGACTGTCCAGATTTGACGTGGGAGCAGTTGGCCCACTTTGCATGGCCAAGCTCAATTGTAGTACAGCTCAGCTCAATTCCAGTGGCAGGAAACTTGAGGAACCATATGACATCTCCTAGGCATCCTACACGACTGTGAGTTTCAGAGTTGTGCAGCACGTTTCCTGCCTCTTCGTCTTGCCTCGGCTCTCGGAGCAAACTGCCCGAGCTCGTCCACCTGCACCCGTCGAAGTGGAAAAGTCTCTCATTCATCTTACGTTGTAGTGCTGCTTTTGCCGTATTTTACCTGTTCACACCAGTTGGTCACGCTTGTTGTTATTGTCATATTCTGCCACAAATCCCGATGTCGAGAATTCGTTTCAACGCCTAGTTTCCAGCTTTGTTGGCAAGGTCGATCTTAGACACGCAAAGGACATGATGTGGCCCATGCTTGCAGAGGTTGAGCGGCAAGTTCGAGTTCACAGCATTGAGCAAGAGATTCAGGTTGCCGGAAGTAAGGTATGTTAAGTTGGTCTTACGGGCCTCCACTACTTATCAAGATCCTGTTGGCGCGGACGAGTTGAAAGCGCATTTTTGGGTGATGAGCATGTCGGCGTTTGCACCTCACATGTGATGCAGTCTAGAGACCTCAGAGCTTTTTTGAGTCATAAAGCCCAGGGCCAATCCAAAGACAGGCCAGACATTGGCACTCGGCACTCAAACTGGGAAGCCGTACTTCACATTTGCACTCAAGGGGTCTGCTGAAATGTGGCAGACCCCTGCCAAGAGCACAGGACCAAGAAGGTCCTACTGCTGTTGGACGTAGAACTAGTTTTCGAGAGTCAAGTGCAGATTGATTTTAGTTTTGGGCGTCTTTGCTAGGACTTACTTGCTGGGCAAGGCAGCAAGTGAAGAGGACCTCGGTTCCAGCACTACTCTTCTACATCCAAGCTACGACCAACCCACTTGCAGTTGCCAGAGCACGTAACGTATCTGGTGGACATGCAATATGCCACCAAAAGGGCTCATATTTTTGACAATCTCCGTGTGGTACTGTACCCCCCAAATACTAACCCAAAATCCCTAAATCCCTAAACCCCAAACATCCATCCTGCTAGATCTGCCATGTCCTCCAAGCCCGCTTCCAGCGACAAAGACAACCAGGCTGGGACTGAAGGCTTATGTTGAACTATTGGGGTAATATTGGGTTTAGGGTTTAGGGTTTCCACCATAGGGCTTATATTGAACTATTGGGGTTATATTGAGGTTTATGTTGAGGTAATATTGGGGTTATATTGAAGGTTATCTTGAGGGTTATATTGAGGTAATATTGGGGTTATATTTGGGGTAATATTGGGGTTATATTAGGGTGACATTGGGGTTATATTGAGGGCTGTATTGAGGGTTATATTGGGATAGTGGGGATAATGGAAAATCAAATGGAAACTACTATAGGCTTAAAGAGCTTGAGGCATGAATGAGTTTAGGACGCCAGGCTCGGTCAGGGGTAAACACAGTGGCTGATGCGAATATTGTGAAATTACAGTGGATGCCTTCCAAAAGAAGGGCTTCAGAGTTCTGCCAGGATGCGCCAGAGGATGCTCAAGTGTTTTTCCGCGAGCAGGCCGGGCAAGGTCCTGTGGCATTAGCAGAGGCTATGTGAAGACTTCCGGGTCGAGAGCCTTATGAGTGTTGATGGTCAAGCTGTATACTGTATCCACGAGCAGATACCGCAATTTGACGCAAAGTTGAATATGCTGCTGCGGAGGCAAAAAAGATGCAAGAGGTCTAGACTGTGCGTGTCAATCAGAGACTGCAGTGGGGCTATGACAACTTGAGATGTGCCGCCAGGCAATTAGATTTTACAAAACAAATATCATCAACAAAAGTGCAACGATAACGTTTGGATTTGACTTGTGACGTGTGGATTGAAGTCAGCTCTCTCTTCCACTTGAAGGCTCTTGACTTGCAACGCCCTCGCGTCGAAGAATTTTCATGTTCACTTTATACAACTCTATGACAGTAGCTTAGACAAGACAACGGAAGCTACATAGTTTTCCAACATTAGCTCCAAATTTTAAAGCCCAACATATTGGATGCATATTATGAGATTATAGTTGGTACATCAACGCAGCCCATAATGAACGCCTGTAAATGAGTTTTGAAGGGCATCAGGCCCAATCCTCAAAATCAGTATCATATCATATGATTCTTCCAGGGTCCCGATGCTGGGGGTTGGGTTCACTGAAATCTTTTTATTGTTTAAAACAGTCCCTTTGAAACAACTCCAGTTTCCATTTCATGTTCCATTTTCTTTTTCCATTTGGTTCTCGATGATTTGGGGTAACCTCCCTAAACAACCCCTGCGTAGCAGAACCCCCATAGAATTCGTATAATTTCCATGGAACCCCTGCATAGGACCTTAATGTAATTTGTATATAGTACCTCAAATAACCCAGGTGAAGCTTTTGCATAGCTTCTTTTTCAGCCCTATCTCCTAAATCCCATACATGATCCCGGTCCCCGGGCCCTCCGCTTCCCCCCTGGTACTGTCGCCTGACCCAAGCCCAGGCCTCTCAAAAGTGCAAACAGTCACAAGGTTGGTGAGTGTCCATCTATAGTAGTTTCCATTTTCTTTTCCATTATTCCCAATATAACCCCTATATACTATAGTAGTTTCCATTTTATTTTCCATTATCCCAATAGAACCCCAATATAATACAGCTCACGATCCTCATAACTGTCCTCGTTTTTGAGGCCTCAGACGCGGCATCCTCGTAACTGTCATCGTGGTTGATGTTGCAAATATCAGAAGTGCATCCTCGTATGATGTAGCAGATCTCAAAATGCTAGCAGCCACAAGGATGGTGGGTGTCCTTGGAGTCCTGGTCATGATCCTCGTCGCAGTCGTCGTTTTTTGATGTTGCAGATCTCAACAGTGCCAGCAGTCACGAGGATGGTGGGTGTCTGGGTCATGACCCATGCAACTGTTATTGTTTTTTCTCATGTTGGAGATATCAAAAATGCCGACAGGAATCCGCCGACAGCAATTGCAACTATGCTGAGAATTGTGGGAGGAGGAAAACCACCCACACCACCGCGGGTAAGGGCAAATTTCTGAATGACTCCATCAACACAAAATGACGACTATTATTGACGTAAGACAGACACCCACACCACAGGGGCGGGGACAAAACAAGGTCTGAATGTTTTCGCAAGATACAAATGCTGGCAATTTTGAAGAAATACAGCACCCACCACACCAGAGGAAAAGTGGGAAAGATCTGAATGAGCTGACATTCATGGCAGAAAGAAAGCCCGCCACTCCGCAGGGGGGAGGAAGAAGGTTTTGATGCTCCATGGTGACAATCACTTACCAGAACCGTGGGAGCTGTGGGACCCTTTGGCAGTACCCTACAATTGGGGTGGAGTTGCAGCCCTGGATCATTTATCCCCTGGGCAGGCGTTGTTTGAACTACTCCAAAACTTACTGGGGGTCAGTAGGGAAGAAGGGAATATAATCCTCCTGGAATCCATATACATAATATTCCCTTCTACTTAATTAAGCCCTAAACCCTGCACAATAGTTTCCATTTTCTTTTCCATGATCCCTATATAACCCTGTATTATAGCCCTATTTCCTAAACCCTAAGCGCTAAACCCTAGACGCTAAGCCCTGAACCCTAGACCCTAAGCTCCAAACCTTAAACCCCCAACCCTAAGCCCTAAAACCCTTGAACCTTAAACCCTAAACCCTAAAACCCTAAACCCAAAGACCCTAAACGCTTAAACCCTAAACCCTAAACCCTAAGTAAGAAAAGCAGGCTGCAGATCTGGCCTGCGGGCGATTCACCCGGCTCCGGGCCTCCCAGAACCTCACAGCCTTGGGCTTCGGAAGCTTGAAGGCTTAGGGGTTTCATATTGGGGGTTATGTTAGGAGAAGGGAAAATCAGATGGAAACGCATATTTAGGGTTTAGGGTTTAGGGTTTGGGGTTTAGGGTTTTGGGTTTTGTGTTTTGAGGTTTGGAGTCTGGAGTTTAGGGGCTTTGGGGGTCTAAGGGCTTTGGGGTTAGGGTTAAGGGATCTGGGGGTTTAGGGCTTAGGGTTGGGGGTTTTGCTTTTGGAGTTTAGGGGCTTGGGTTTTCAAGGGTTTCATCATGTGGGGATGCCTGTGGAGATTGAGTTGCACCCACAGCCCCCAGCGCCCTATGATGATACTATGGGGGAAGGCGGCGCAGAACGCATAGCGTGCAACCAGGTTTAGGGAAATAGGGTCAGGCTTTCCAAAATGAGGGGTCTTTTATGGTGGGCACCTAGGACCTAGAATTT